GTGGATCACCTGGAAGCAGCCATTTTTGGTAAAATCATCATGGGCAGTTAATAGAAATCGAGCTTTCTGCACTTGTTGGTAGAAGATGTTAAAATATGTTAAAAGATCTTTGTGAATTTTTGTCGCGATGAGATCTGCGTCCACGGTAACTTGATGGGGAAGGTTGTGTTCCGTTTAAATTGATCTCTCGAGCTAGTGGCTGCGATTTTTTTCGGAGGAGACACAGTGTTAGGAGTTTTTGTGAGGAGTTCATCACTTTTTCAGCTTGGTGGGGAAGGTTGTTCTGCTTAAATTGATCTCTCGAGCTAGTGGCTGCGATTTTTTTCGGAGGAGATACAGGGTTTTGGAGTTTTTGTGAGTTCTTCACTTTTTCAGCCGGTTCTCCGGCTGCCCAGAGTTGTAACAGGTGACAAGTGCATTAGCCGTCTGCATCCTCCACCGGAGGTCGCACAGGACGCGGTCGCTCGATGTGTCGTAAATGATTGATCCTAATCGGTAAGAAGTGAAAGAGAGGAAGAGACGGAAGGAGCGCGACTCTTATTGTAAATAAGTACATTTATTCACTTATCAATTTTACAGTGTAGTAATATGATACACTGAGTACAGAATAATTTCCTCTTTTTATGTCAGTTACTAATTAAGACGATTAGTATGTAAGTGTTCATAAAGAATATATAGCGGGTACGATCTTGTTGGTCGTCGACATATTTCGTTTGTTCGCGTTATAAGACTCTTGTTCTACGTTGTTTGTTCGTTTGGTGTTACGCCTAGTCGCTCTCGCGGTACAGTAAATCCATGCTCGCATGAAGACCCTACATTAATTCGCATGATACGTTATTAGCGTTACCCCGTGTATCCCTGTGCATAAGGCCACAATCGTTTGGTGTTCCGTGATAAGTGTAGCGTGTTACGTGTGCATGTCGTGTGCGTGTTAAGGTCTCGGCGTCTTCTCTCGTATCCGACTATTCTTCTCGTCCGAGAAGCAAAAGCCTCGCTCAACGATTTCAAGAAAGAGAAAACGATCGGTTCTTCGATCCCCTCCGAGCGAAACCCGTGTACAAGTGTAATCGTGTGATATGTCGGTGTACGATATATCGCGAGACGGTACACCTCGTGTACAATTAAGTGATTCTGTACAGAGTGTGAAACCAAAACACGTGTAGAGTGACAGGCGGTGAGAGAGATCGACGGGTAGGCTGAGAGAGACGGAGTTAAATAAAAATAAAATTACTATGTATATATGTATATATATATATATTCTCTCTCTTTTTCTTCTCTCTCTTTCTCGCTTTCTCTCTCTCTCTCTCTCCCTCTCGAATTTCGTATGCGTAACGATAGGACTCTCGTCTCGCGCGTTGCCTCGCGCCAAGCTCTGCGATCCCTCTTTTTATCTCGATTTCTCTACCATGTACAAAGCAAAACAATAACATTAATAACATTACGATAGTATATTGCTTCCTCCTGCTTCGATTGAACATTAAAATTCGTACGTGGATTAAGGCGATTTGATTTATCGATTATAATAATCCTTCGACTCGTGTTTCAAGGCAACCGACGGCGCCCGGTGCGCCAGAGTTCGCGCTCGACGAGATCGTCTGGAAAGGCGACTATTTCCTCGAGATTCTCCGACCGTTTTCCGGAAACTTGTCACGCTCGATATCTCGACTAGTGAGTGGAGATTCGGGGAAAGCGATCGGGAAAGGATCTCAGAGGCTCGGCCGCTCCGGACGTCCTCGTCTCTACGGAGCTAGGAAGTTCTGCGTCTCTTACGTTCTACGTAGACGCCCGCGTCCCATCCACTGCGAGAGATCCGACCGATAAATTAGAAAAAAAAAAAAAGAAAATAGATGCGGTTTATGATGCCCTTTTCCACTCCTACACTCGATTTCGCTCCAATCCACCGGTCGGAAGTCTCGACACCCACGCGACCTTCCGTTCGTAACGTTTCGTGATGTTTAGAGAAGCTTCTGCTTGGCGCATTCCGGACAGATGATGTCGTCCCCATCAGTGATGAAGCCATGTCCAACCAGGGATGTCTTGCACCCGGCGCAGATGAAACAGTCGTTGTGCCAATGTCGGTCCTCGAAGGAGATGAAACGCGTTCCGCCGATTCCTGAAATGAAATCGTGGTTTAACGATATTAACGCTCATGTTCCTTGTCCATCATGGACAATCGACCTCGATGAGTCTGTCCGAGACACTATCGCGTCTTTTGGCCCGAACTCTGATACGTGTCCCTCTATATTAATTGAACTTCTCTTACCAGTGATCGGTTTGGAGCAAGCGGTGCATCTCTTTGCGAAAAGCTCGCCGAAGCACTCGGCGCAGTACGGCTTGTCATCGCGAGAAGTAAATCGCTGCCCAGCCAGGGAGTTATTGCAGTTGCTGCAAGTGAAGCAGTCTCTGTGCCAGGGCTCGTTCTTGTATGTCACGCCGCCGCTGGTGATAATCTGCGGAAGATGGATTTCCGACGAATATTACCAAATTGAACCCTCTAGGATCATTGAAAAGCAAAGTTGAACGTGCGGCGAGCAACTTTTAATTCACCTTGTTGCACTTAACGCATCGAGTTGCAAACTTGTCCTCGTAGCATCCTGCACAGTAGATCTCCTGTTCGCGCGGGATGAAGCTCTTCGTGCCGATTGGGTTCTTGCAAACGACGCAGCAGAAGCACTTCTCGTGCCACTGCCTTGTCTTGTACTCCATCTTCTTCGTGCCTGAGACAAACGATGTTACATAAATAACATGTACCGACAGACTTCTAACCGTGCATTTAGAAACAGGGCGATTGATCTGGGTCATTTTCGGGGTGTTGCGTGAAAAGAGGCGCAGGAATGAATAAACATATATCATGAAACATGTAGACTTGACATAAGAGGAGACAGACGCCTCGCGTGTGGCGCCAGGCGGGCTGGAATTGCGCATGCAAGTTCCTCCCCAACGTCCGCTGGCAATTCCGTAGAAGAAGAAAATTACCGGCAATTCCCAGCAGTTCATGCCCCAACGGTTGCATTTACCCCGGGTCATGACACGTATGCGGTGCAAGCGCTTCTTAGAAATTCGAGCTTACGGGGGTCGAGGGGAAAGAAGTCCAAATAATTGACTAGTTTCCTCCCGAAAGCTCTCGAAGCTAATTTTACCTTAGATTAAGAAACTCAGACCTAGTCATTATCTGCGATGTTCAGCCTGGCGTGTCAAATTGGACAATAAATGTCGTTTTTCGAACCTCTTGAATGAGTAAAGTCAACTTTAACGAGGCCATCGAGAGTGAACGATTTTTCTGCATTTTTTAAGTTTACTCGGCTCTAGGAACCAGCTGAAACGCTATCTATGTACTACCTGGGTATCTAATTTAATATCTATTTATTATATCCGAAGAAGCGTGCTTCCAATTTAAGGCACCCCAGGAACTGAGTACCCCGAAATTTCGGAGTAATTGTACGGGAACTTGTTTCGAACGATGCTTTAGAGGCGTGCGCAAATACCACGATATTTGTTAGCCTCCTCGAATTCTGATAGCGAATGTCCAGATAGTACAGAGTTAGTACAGGGATCTGTGGTGAGTTGGTTCCGAGCAAAGTTTTGGAAAGTTGGGAAACACCAGGTGAGCCAGAAAGAGTTCGGTCCCGATCGCGTCGCCCACGCTCGGCGTGGGTGACGTCACGGGATTAACATAAATCGGTAATGACTGGGAAACCCACGCGGGTACTCGAGTACCGATATGGCGAGCCGTAGGTAAACCCGATCGCGGTTTTAATTGGTCGGAGGTAAAGGGTCGATTTGCTCGATGGAGAAGGTGCGCGGCCGATCCGAGTCCGGTCGAGCGACTTCTTTCGAGATATTCGGGTCAATCGGATGGACGAACGTAGCCTGCAGCTACTCGGGATAAGAACGCGAGAATCCGTGTCGAGATACGCCCCGACGTGAACCGGACCTCGGCGATACCGTCGCGTTTCATTCCCCGGGGAAATCTCGAACCGGCTCCCCGCCATTTCGGTCCCGCGCCATCTTGGCGAAGACGTCCTCCAGATCGGAGAAAATGGATAGACCTCTCCGACTGGACATAATACCCGATAACGATAATCGGGCGGATAAATACTGCCACGTCCAAGATCGGAGTCATGGCGGCTCTTGAAATGTTTAAAAGATTCACATCTTTTATGAACTATTTACGTGTACCACGCGCGTGACATGCGCTACGTGTAAGGAGCGTTTCTCGACATCTCGGATACGATGGAAATCTCATGCAAAGCGATTCGGGAGACTAGGCACCTGTGTATTAACCTTGACTACAAAGTTGTCACGTGATGCGATAACTGTCGCGCTTTACAAGGAATAGGTAATTGACGCTTTCATCGAAAATGAGTTACGGCCGCGATTACGTCTCGATTTGACGTGCCCCGATCGTTACGCGCAATTTATTCGAGATCGGCGTGATTAATTGCCGAGCGATTAGCTGCACTCATCGGAGACGCAATAATCGTCACAATTCAAACGACGCTTCCGTGAATGCTAAGCGTATGTAAAACGCGCTAATGGCGTACAGAGTATTCCAGGGGACCGTTCCGCAGTTTCGGTCATTTCTGTTGAGGCTACGTGAAGGAGCTCTTTTTAAATGCCATTAAGGGGATGTGAAAGTGGCATCCGAAATCTCAATCATTCAAAAATCTTTTCAACGAACTAGGTGTCTCTCAAATCGTTTCATACTTTAAAACGTGAATATGGAGACCCTAAGGTAGGTCCTGAAACTCGCAAAGTTTAATTTTGTATAAACTATTTTTAAAGTACCTATAAACAAATTTGAAAAGAATGGCAATTCCATGAGTTTCAAGACCTTCCTTATAGTCTCCCTATTCACGTTCTAAAGTTTCATTCTATTCGGTAAACCGAGTTGGGAGATAAGTATTATAAACAATACCTCTTCGACGCCATTTTCAGATCACCTTAAAAATGCCGTATCGGGCAAACACCTGCCCTCGAGATGTATTATCGAGCGAATACCCGTTATAAGGTGTACAGGAAAAAGGAGTTCCACATCTCTCGCGATTAGAAACGGGTGATCGATGTGGAGAACATATCGGGGATATTTATAACCGTGAGTCAATGTTTGCGTCTTTCTTGTCTCGCGTCCAAGTCCCCGTTAAAGGGGCCGAAGTTCCTTCGGAATTGTCGAAATTCTTCCGAGAGTCTTTCGAGAGGTAGATTCGGGTCCAGCTGGCTTTTATCTTCGGCCTCGGTCCTCGAAATGAGTCACCCATTGGCAGATCGTAGGCGATCGTTCGCTTTCGCGACTTCCTCGAGGTGACTTAGGATTTTCACGGGTACGCACACAGTCTCAGGTGCGAATTAATCCAAGCTGTACTTGACCTTAGACGAGCGAAGCCTCGACGAAAAGAGCGTCTCGATCGCGATTTCACGCCACATCGGCGCCGGTTTATTTTAGCCAATGACTGACTCTTGGCCGCGCCGAAAGGATGACCTGAGATCATCGACTACGCTGTCATGAAGGACCTTCCCGAGTCGGGAAGCGAACGGCGATAACCGACCGAAGGAGCCGCGCCAACGCGATTGCAAACGAGCCTTAATCGAACTGAGAGATACCCCATGCGTCACATAAGACTATGTCAACAAAACCGAGAAGGAATTTCATGATGCAGAAAATCGAGAGTGGAAAGGCAATTTCTCGCGATTTGTTACGACTACAAATTTAATCGAATCGAAGGAGGAACCTAAAATCACGCGAACGCAATTGCGAAGGAACAACGTAATGCGGAAAATCGAGAGTGGAAGGGCGATTTTTCGCGACTTATCACGTTTAAAAATGAGCTTTAANCCATGCGTCGCATAAGACCATGTGAAGGAAACCGAGAAGGATTTTCATGACGCAGAAAATTGAGAGTGGAAGGAGGATTTTTCGGGATTTATCGGGAGTAAAACCGAGCCTTGATTAAATCCATGTGTCGAAATCATGTGGACGAAACCAAGAAGGATTTTCATGATACAGAGAATCAAGAGTGGAAGGGCGATTTTTTACCATGCCAAACGATCCTTCAATCAAATCGGGGGAGATCACGACGCATAAAATCGAAAGTGGAGGCCGATTTTTCTCAATTTATCGACAGTCGAACTCCATTTGCATCTCTCTTCGATCTGGCTTAAGTCGCGGCGAAAACTGTGTCAACGACGCTCCGAGGACGCGGATTTCGACTCGACGAATCGGCGGAGTCGTAAACCCCGATCGATTCGCCGGATCCCGAGGTCGGATTTGCGGATTTCATCGAAAAGGTGTTTGCGACAAGGAGAGCCGGGAGTGCGCTTTCGTGCATCGCTCCCTCGGGCTGTCGATGACTCAAGAGAGTCGTCGTGACGTCACGACGTCCAAACGACGGCCGTATATGTATAAAGTAGGATGTTTCAGGGACTCGATGTCGCAATCCGAGGAGACATCTCTGGTGGACTCTTCGTTTCGAGATTGAAAATTCGAAAGCGCGCCTTGACACCCGCCCAAATCCTACGCGACATTCGTAGGACGTTCGAAATTGGTCCATCGTTTTTTACCCACCATTTAGGACGTAATAGATCAAAAAAGACCATCTCGTCCCTTCATCGGCGTTTATAAATATCTGCATAAATATCGACCTTCGCTAATGTAATCCCATCGAGCAGCAGCGCGGATTTTCGGAGCCGAGTTAACCTCCACTCTTTACATAATGGCCCGTAATTTTAGGCGTGACTCAAGTCTCGCTCGGTTCTTAAATCATAAAAGTTGCGATACGACTAACGACCCGAACCGGGAATGAATATTCATCGGACAATTCGATCGGCGTAATCGAAATGTCGGCGATACGCAATCGGGAGTTTGCACGGCTTAATCAGCGCCGATTGAGATCGACCGGTTGTATCGATTGTGCCGACCGATTGCGCCGTTTCCCGATAGTGATTCGTGATGTCACTTGTATTAATATCGCGGCCTGGCAGGAAAAAACAGTTTACGTCGAGTGATAACGAGGGCCGATATAGACGAGAGGAGCGAGATGAGGTTCCGGAGATGAACCATCCCGCCCATCTCGCGAAGATGCATCTCCGTCCTTCGTCGAACCTCGAAATGCACATCGCATGGAAATCAACGCGGCTCCAGGAAACGTTTGTCGTAATGTCGAGACTTTTCACAGCGGTGCGAATTCCGGGGCGATTTCGAAATGGCATAGCTCGAGTGCGTGTCTCGTCGTTCGATTTCCTTGCGAGGAATTTCGATTCGGCCGCGTCGTAATTTCCGATTAATCGAGCTCGGGTCGATAAGGAGACGCAATCGTGTCGATGCAATTAAGAAGTTCGTTGAGCAAGTGGAGTGCACGCGTGCGGTAGCCCAGATAAGGCCAAGAGCACTCGGCCGATAAGTCGAAGATCGATGAGTGCCACCTTGGTCCACATACGACAGTCTGACCATAAATGAGTCCTTAATTCGATCCCGTATCCTTGCAAACGTGAAATACGCGAGAAATATGAAAAAAAGGAGTCGCAGGAAATCCGGCGAGTTTTCAAGGAATTCGAATTCCCTCGGGAAAGTTCTCATCCCTCGTCCCTTAACCCGGGGGTAAAAATCAGCTGCTCGATTTCCACACCTGGATCCGCTTTCCTGGGGTCGCCGAGGAGACACTCCCTCCCCAGGCAGCACCGGAACTTGGGGTCGCCCTCCATGGGGAACATACTGAAAATCGCCACATCCTCGTCCTTCTCCTTCGCCCTCTTGATCCGGTCCTCGCCCACCGTCTTCGTCTGTAGATGGAGCTTACTCGAGAACCGATCGCTGAGAGTATCGGCCGCCATTTCCGTCTCTTGTTCCTCCGGTAATAACCTCGATCACCGCTTTTCCTTCCTCTCCAGGATCGCGGGAAACCGCGACGACTTTTCACCGATTTAACTCCGCGATATAGGCCTCGATCGACCCGACAGTTCGGGAGAAAATGCCCGCCACTCGACGAGGAGGTCCTTGATATATCTCGTCGATAAGGATCGATTGGTAGGGTCGATAGAGTTAGTAAAAAAATATTCGCGCGATCCCCAGGCTCGAGGCACCCTCTCGGGGGGAGGTCGAATACTCGCGGTGCCGCTTTTCTGGCCGGAGCATTCCAATTTGTTTTCTCTCGCCTGGGGATGATTTCTTTCCTTCGTCTGGAGCGCCGGGCGCGCTTTTTTCAGACTCCAAATTCGATATTAGAAATGCGAAATCCTGCGAAGCTCGTCCGGCTGGACGCGAGTCGGGCGCGCTACTGGAGAGCCGACCTCGCGGCGCGAATGTCCGAGCCCGAGCGAGCAGGCGCAACATTTATGGTGGAGATAAAGCCGTGTACTATAGACGCGACGTTGACTATACTTGCCGAAGTATAGTCTGGCCGGGTCGAGCCGTGACTTCGACCTCGAGGAAGTCCGAGGAGACCGGCTAGATCTCGGTTTCCGAGGTCGAAGAAAGGTCCTAGGTCAGGGATATGAGCTTTCCGCGATGGGGTACGATTGTCTCCTTTTTATCAGGAGGGAAGACCCTCGGCCTGGCACGATCCTGACGAGGACTACGTACATAGATACGTACATGAGATATACATGACACAAAGCGAATCGTTAGTAACGATCGAGCTTCGCGTCATATTTCGTCGACCTGTCTGAATTTAACCTCCGACTTTTCCTGCGATTCCCTCGATAAAGGTCGTGTCATGCTCGGCAATAGTAAACCGCTAGAAAGGGATTTTATTTAGATTTTATCGTCCTGGTACGATCGCGTTGCGGATCTTCCTGCAGATTTTACCTGGGCGCACTTTCGTGCTTCGATTGAAAGTACTCGCCGATCGATTCGCGAGACACGCGATTTCGACGTAGTTGCACGTGTTAATGTTGTTCCTTTTACAAGACGGAGATCTGAGCAAGTTTATTTGCGCACGGCGTTGCATCGATATTTACATATGTAAAGATAATAGGCATCTCCGGAGAAGGCCCTCGCGAATCGCGAAGAGAAGCTTCTCGAGATGCGTCAGGACTTCGTAAGTCCATTATCGCGACAGTAAAATTTCCATGTAGGAAAATAGGACTTTCGTCGCTGTACAAATCCCGGGCCATTTTGTCATATTTTCAAGACATTAGTCGGCTTAGAAATTGAATTTTAGTCGATTGACTGGGAAAAAAAAATCCTTCGAGGAGCTTCTTTCGTCCATGCATGCGCATACCTATTGGACGGATGATTGAAAGCGCATAAATCATATGATTTCATTCGGTAGAATATACAATAGAGATTCTAGGCGCGGGACGAATTCGCTGTTTCCGGCACTTCCATTCCTCTCGTATTGTGGGGAAGCTTGGTGAAAAACAAAAAAGAACGAGCGAAGACGTTTCGATTCTACGTCGCACGCAGGCTCTTTATTTTAATAGTTTCTTTGATTCCTCGTGATTCATATGCAGATCGAATGACGTACAAAGGCGGCTAATAACGGTTCGTATCTCGTACGAGACCAATCGCGAGAAGCAGGACTTGCTTTCCTAATCTGGAACGTGCCTGCGGATTCAAGATGGCGGCGGAAAAGGTCGTCCTTAGTCGCGGATGATATTAAATCGTTCGAGGAAACTCGCGGCATGTGCGAACGCGTAGGTTTGAAAAAGTCACGAGAAAGAGAGAGAAGGATCTTCGAGGAACGATCTGCACCTGTTGAAAGTTCGCGTGTCACCCTGAAAAGAATCGCGTGGGATTTTGCACGAGGTACGATGGCGGTTATTGAAAATTTTTTCCAACTATCGGCTCGTGGAGAATTTCAGAGACCGGATGGCCGCAAATTCTCGAAACTCGTGGCAGGAGCTTTACCGAAACGGGCATTACCGCCACGCACTTAAAGTATAAATAAATGAAAAAGTGAGGTCATCGAGTTAATTGCACCGATTTTCGGGAGTTTCGCGCGAGGAACAGGAGGTCCTTTATCCTGCGATATCGTCTCAAAGCTATTACGACATAGGCAAATTTGGGCCACGTCCATTTTGCACTTCTTGAGATGGTAATCTTGTCAGATTTATTATTGAAAGAGGAGATAATAAGGAGAAAGTCCTCCGTCTGGGGAATGTCTGCGAGAGAGGTGATACCGATCTCTCTCTCTCTCTCTCTCTCTCTCTCTTGAGAACCCATAAGCGTTAACCCGATCGTTAAGACTCGCATGATTCATGAGATATATGGGTCGTCATTCCGACAGGCAGTCTGCGTTCTTGTATTCTCGAAGTCGGTGACGTTCTTTCGCGGAAGGATTGGACTTCACGGTCGCGATCTCCAGGGTAGTCGATAAGTTCCTCTCGACTCCATTCTGCGTTCGAACGAACGCGATCTGGATACCAGGTCCTTCGGAATAGTCCTATCAGCGACCTCCCATTCGGGCAGGAAGTCGAAAGACCAAAAAACAGGATTCGAGCAGCTCGTTAGGACGTCAAGGCGAGTGCAATTATATTCCAGTTTGCAATTAGTTGCTCAGTTGCAAGCTTCGTCTTCAAGGAGACATTAAGATGGCCCTTCGCGCTAGTTACCCGCCTTGTTATTATTAAAAAGGAGGCCGATAAAAGTGTACACCCTGCGAGTACGACTAAGGGAAAGTCTCGGGTACCCGTGAACGCAAAAGCGATCGTTAAGATTCGTATAAATCATGCGATGCTTAACATTTTTGTGGAAAAGGGACTTGCGCTTCGTCAATGAAAGGACCTCGAAAGGACCTCGAAAGGACCTCGTGCAGATTGATTTCGACGGTGAGTGGACGTGGGAGATAGAGTGTCCTTAAATCTCGACTAGCATGCCTAGTTTGGATCTCCTTGGTCCTTGACTCAGTTGCCATAATAGGCGAGCCGGAGAGCAAGATCCATCACCTATCTCTCGTTTCGTTCATCGCGCGAGTTCCTCTAACTCGTACCTCGCGTTTTCCAAAGGTACAGGTAAACAGGATCATATACATACCGGCACGGAAGATCTCGCCGCATCCATCGCAACGGCTTGCAAATTGAGCGTCGTAGCAATTGCCGCAGTAGATCTTGTCGACTTTGCTGCCAAACTGTTTGTCCACCAGCGACACGCGACACTTGTTGCACAGGAAGCAGGCCTCGTGCCAGTGCTTATCCTTGTACGAGAGATCCTAGAAAATCATTTTCAATCGTGAGATGGAGCAGTTCCTTCCTCGAATCCACCTCGAGACCGTTTCGCCGGTGACGTCAACGGCGGTTGGAAATAATTTCGCAAACCCACGAGAACAACCCTTTTGTTAAGAGGCGCCAAGAGCGACACTCGAGCCGAGTCATAAGGAGGACCGAGGAGCTTAGAACGGAAATAGACACCTGATGCACGTCGGTGCACCAGGGATGTTGCACCGCGAGGCCGCATCATCGCATCGTCGGATCATCGAGCTCTATTTCTAGATATGAACAAGCTTAACGTCCCCATTGGCATCCTCCCCTTTCGCGTGTTCCGCTAGATCGACCCCTTAATCGTAAAAGAGAACCGACTCGCCGCTGCCAAGCAGGAAGTCGGCGCTCTGAGTCGATGCACTTTGTTCGGGATCGTTCAAGCAAAGAGAGAAAAAAGCGTTTGGCAATCCCGTGGGAGGCGGTCAGATAAGTTCGCCAGAGGTCCCCTTGACCTTGGTCAAGGAAGTTACCGGGGTTGTCCTCACCTTGGAATCGATACCAATGATTTTGTTGCACTCCTCGCAGCCGTTCGCGAACACGCTCTCGTAGCACTTGATGCAGTAAGGATGTTCGTCTCGGAGGACGTATCGCTGACCGGTCAAGGACTCGTCGCACTGCCAGCAACAGAAGTGGCCGCTGTGCCAGTCCTTGTTCATCGTCCTTGCGTATTCCCCACTGAAAATCAACTGGAAGGAGAACGTAGATTTTTAGACCTTCGACATATCTCGCAAGAGGGGGCCAAGAGTTGTTTGGAAGGACTATCGAAAACGGGGAAAGGCATCCTGGGTCCTTGATGGGATTTGGAACAGGGGTTTCATGGAAAGAGTCTAAAAAATAGTCCATCGATGCGCTCCAAGAATCGGTCCGAAATTCGCACCAAGTTGCACGCAACTTTGAACATGTTTCCTTAACGCGGCGCACCCTGGTCGGTGCATGATACCGCATATCGATCGATGATTATGTACCTTGGATGAGTGCTGTTGTATGTGCTGGCTGAGTATATAGGCATGTTTGCGTTCGCGCGGATGACTCCGGGGAGTCTAGGACTCCTCCGGGGGTGATATTTGTTCATCCAGAAAATTCGTGTCGCGATGTAAGAGGCCCTCGAGAGGGCGGAAAAATCCCCCAAAAGTCACGGATGAGTCGGCGAATGCGACTCGTGCAGAAATTCTAATAAAACACCTGGAATACCGCGGTAACAACCAAGGTACGATCAGACCCTCCAAAAAAACACCCTCGATCGATCCTACTCAACCTTGAAAGCCAATCTAAAATTCAAATTAAGTCCTGAAATTTTCAAAACCATTTCATCCTATACCAATGAAAGAGAAGTAGTCTCGGTCGGTATAGGTCAGACGTGGTTTGACTCTTGGCACTGGTATTGTCGCCGCTTATTGTCGTTCGGTCTCATCGATTTACGTTCCTAAAGGAAGTGGATGACTCGACTTGACCTCCGAGACGAAAAATCGGCGTATGATTTTTTTTTTATCTTCGAGTCGACGAGTCGTGCTCGACTCATCCGTGCCTACCGAGATTAGGGGTGGTTCCTCGCGAGTTCTACCGAATAGACGGAGCGAGTCTACTTAGGGGAATAATAAATGCCGGACTAATCGGATGTCAGCCAGCACATACTCGTCGATGGCGTTGTGGTTCTGCGTGCTGTCGACTTCGGTGATCGTGACTTCGGCGTTCTGGTCGTGGCTCTCGCGACGCTTGGTCGTCTTCTTCACTTTGCGCACTTTGCGCTCGGTGGTCGTGTACACTACACTGTCTACGTCCGCCATGGCTGGGGAAACTTGAAGTTTCGGCTCTTCTGGAGTACTCTTCGGGTCCTCTACTCCGGCCTCGCGCTAATCGACTCGGAGATCCCGGCTGTTCGAAGCTAGCGTTTCTTTCGAGTGTTGCGAACTGACTGAAATCTAGGATCGAGACGCCCTGGGCGTCATATCGGGGACGCTATTTTCGGCGTCCCGACGACTCCAGAAACCCCGACTCTGCCCACTGGTGCCCCTCTCCCAAGGGATCGCTGCAGTGTGCCGGGTGCAACTTTTATATACACCTCTAGGTCCGTGATGTGTCTTCTGCGCGGGCGGAAGAGAGAAAGCGAGAGCACCTCGGACACGATGCGTACCTTAATCGTGTCTGGTATTTTCGGACTCTTTCCCGCACCCTCGTTCCGGATACGGACCGATCGAACGCCCATCGATGCCTCGAGATTCTCGGTTTCCCGGACACCCCTTCCCACCCCTTCCCACCGCAAAAGAAGGAAACGTCGCTAGATTTTTCGATTTCCAAGCGAACAGCGGAAGAAATCCGAGGAGGGAAACAAAAAGGGGCAACCTACAGGAAATGAGGAATTAAAGGAAAAATCTTGGGAATTTTTCGCGCTCCTGTTTTTTTTCCCGCGGATCTTCAAGGGACCTAATAAAAAAGTACCCCGCAGATTCTTGCTGCGGAAGCGGCTTGAACGCGTGCCAAGCAGGTGGTTCCCAGCCAATGAACGGCCAGCTGAGAGCACTAGGAATTCCAGGGAAAAGCGTAGGAGAAGACCCGAGGAAGAGGGACATCTCGGGAAAAGAGACGGAAGGCACTTTGGATGAGAAGTCAGAATGTTCCACGCGTCACCAATGCTTCCAAAATTACCGAAATCGTTCCGGAAAGATCGCTAATATAGGGAAATCGCAGCGAATGGCGTCCCCACCTCTTAGAAAGCTATCGAAAAGCGGAAGGTTCCGCAAAGTTATCCCACAAAAGAGCCATTGTCGAGCTTTTGGCACCTCCCACGAGATGCAAGAGGTGCATGCGTTGCACTTGATGTACGATCTGGGAAAGTCGAGAGATACTCGACGCGCTCGTTGCGATCTGCGAATATCGGAGGGATTTCCGCCACTTGGGATTTTTGACATATTTTTTTCTTCTTTTTTTTTTTAAGCGGCTCGCGATTAGTCAGCCGCGATTACGGTCAAAGCGGAGAAATGTGGCCAAGGCTCGCGGCGTCTCGGAAATAGACGAGACCGATTTTCCCTAGACCGACCGAGGCGTGTCGAAAACGTCCCTTTCCGCTTTTCCGCGGTTTGGAAATCGGGCCGACACGGTGTAACTTAATATCGGGCTCGAAAAAGTGGCCGGACGGTTTCGCGCCGATCGATCCGAAAATAGCCCCTGAGGGCGACAAAAAAGTGGAGATCGGGCATCCGCGGCAGGGGGGGAGGGAGGGGGCGGATCGTTTCTCCGACTCTCTCGAAATACTGCGATAATATTGCGGACGGGGTTTGAGATTGATATTTTGGGCGACCCCACGCGCGGCACACGGCACCAACCCTCCGCCGAAACCTCGCGCGAATATCGGCCGCGTTTTGTTAAGCGAGCTTAACGAGCGCGAGCTTCTCCCAGAAACTGGATCTTGGCTTCCTCCACCTCGCCCGAAAGACGCCAGGACGGTGTCAAGGTGTCCCTCTGCTTCCCGATCGCGAGAAATTACCATCGTTTGGCCCTTTGACCGATCTTAAGCGGTGAAAGGAGAATTTGGGCAACCGCGGCTACGCGACGAGAATTATTATAATAAAAAAATAATAAAAAGAGCGAAGGCATATTTTATTAACTTGAGTTTATGACATTAAACCAGGGTCCAAGGACTCGACTAAGACTTGATGCAATGAATTAATGATACAAGCGTCTCGGCTTCTCGAAATTCGTGGACATGCTTCAATTGGTATGACACGAAAAAGAAATAGGCCACGGAAATTTATGCAAAGGAGAGAATATATATTTCATAAGTTCGCTCGATCCTTGACAGGACTCAACTGGTACAATGTGAAAAAAAAAAAAGTTGTACACGAAAATCGATGTGATAGAGCGAATGCACACTTCATAGATTCGGTCGATCCTTGTTCAGAGGATTTGGTACACTGAATAAATGATGTGAGCGCTTCGATTTCTCGAAAATCAAGGGCGTGCTTCAATAATTGACATGACGCGAAAAAGAATTATTTTTTAGTAAAATTGATATAAAAGAGCGAATGCATGTTTCATACGTTCTCTCGATCCTTGCCAGAGTCCAAGGACTCTACCAGGACCTGATGCAATGAATGAACGACGCTATTTCCTCGACTTTTCGAAATTCGTGGGCGTGCTTCAATTTCGGAGCACATAATCACTTCGTTCACTTGCCAAAACTTCCTCGCATGCATTACGAATATTCTAGGCGATTGCCATTACGATATCGTTACACGAAATGCTATTGTGTTTTACACGCCGGGTGTCAAACGGTGCCATAAGATTGGCGTAAATAATGGCGAGCATGCCAAGTACGAAAACGTCTAACAATACTCTCCACCTTTCCTTCCGTTGTACTAAGAGTAAAAACACGTTGACTAAGTGGAAAGGAACGTGTAGCGACATATAGAAGAAGGACGAAAAGATACAAGGAAGTTACTCCCTCGAGTGTCCATGGAGCCATCAGGGATTCATCGACGGTTTCCGAGGACGGTCCATCGCTAAATGTCATAAATAACGACCTGTTTATTCGAACAACTGGTTCGGACCGACTGGGAGTCCATTTTAAATTCTTTCATTTCCGCAATAAATCCCCGAGTCGTTCCGCTCCCTTTCGGTCCGGGAACAGGTCCAAATAGTTGTTGCCGTAAATCATCTCTTGGCCAAGGGTGGAGGAGGCGCGTCGCATCAAATTACCCAAAAAGCTTTGTTTCCATCGGTGTCGGACGCGGAAAAGTCGATCGGTCTCCGACGCGAAGTATCGCCGTCGAGGGCGTCGAGAAATTCGTCGGAAGTGTCGTTCTCGAAGGACTTGGTGCCCGACGACGACCTCGAGTATCCGTTTGATCCCTGCCCCTGGTAAGGACCCATTCGAGACCTCCCATCCTCTCCCTTGGAGCCATCCTTCCTTCTCCAGGACCTACTCTCGATCGCCTCGTAATCGTCGTCATCGGCGATCTCGAAGCTCGATATCTTCAAGGACTGTTCCTCTTCGTCTTCCAGATCCTTCAAAGCGTTGGTTGCGCGAGTCACGATGATGCGGTTCCTGAAAGCATCCTCGTTCTCTGCGCTTCCTTTCGACGAGCCGCCTCTTCTGCTCCTGAAGGCCTTCCTCCTAGAGAGGAGGTCCTTCTTGCTCTCGGACAGCCCCAGGACTGGAGGATCGTCGGGAATCTCCGAGGTCTCCCAGTGAAGGACTTCTTCGAAACTGGTCTGGACTTCCACGGAGACGCTGCCCTTGCTGGCCGACCTCGAAAGCTCCGATTCGGAAGGCGAAGTGTTGGTCCACTCATCCCTCACCTGTCGTCCGGTCTGTACAGAAATGTCGGACATTCGCCGCTCCGGGGCCCGACTTCTCTTGGTCTTCTTCGTGCTAAGGTTCTCCGCCGACTTGCTCACCTCGGCGTTCTTCGATTTCAGCCTAGTGGGTTTCCTGAGGACCGCACTGGAGTGTTTGGAAGACCTCGGTTTCCTGATGCCTTGGCTCCCCTTCTCCCGATCGGCCGATCTGGGACTCCTACTCCTGGAGTCCCTCGAGTCCTCCACCCTGAGGAGCTCGTCTCCACCCAGGGACCTCCCCTGCGGCAGATCCTCGGTCGACGATAGTCCTGAAGACGAGAATTCATACCTTGAGCCCAGACACAGGTTCTCGAAGGACCTCCTAGTGGGCGCCTCATTTCCGGAATCGAAG